GAAACGATTGTCGGCTTGTAAAGTACAACGTACGGACGGCGTTTTAGTTGGGGCACACCGCGACCGACTCTGCTGGTCATCACATCACCGATTGCCACGTAAATTCCCGACAATCATTTACTGCCGAGTGCCGACAGTTATCTTTATCAACTCTAACTGTACTATAAAAATATGGATTGATATGAAAAATGATAAGTAATATAAATTAATTTAGTTAAATAGTTTATTAAATGAAGATTAAGTTTTATTTTTTTAATAATAATTAATGTCGAAAAACTTCTTTTATGATGGAGGTAAAAAAAATTCTAAAAATATAATTTACATAATAAATTTATTAAATACAGGCAATAATTTCATAAGAGTATTTTACATAATTTGTTGTCTAACTCTAAATTATATTTTTATTGTGCATTTTAACTTAAAAAAGGTATTTTTTAATATTTAATTACTTTTTTAATATAAAGAAGTTAACTATTTGATATAACAAATATTTGAATTATTAGCTTAAACCTAGATAACAAACGCAATCAAGATCTTGTCGCTAATATTTACTTCAAAAATATATTATACAATTCAGTCTAAATTGCATAATATAAGTCATTAAATGATTTTTTAGAGACCATCTTTTTACGCAATAGTTCTTATTTTACAGCTCAGTATGTAATAACTAACTCACTAATGATATTATTCATTTTGAGTCTTTGGATCAGTGGCGGAGCTAGGAATTTATCTTAGGGGGGCAATTGCAAAATTATAAAAGAAGAAAATTAAAATATCAAATTGCATCTTTAACTTAAAAACATTGAAGAAGATGGATTTTGCTAGAGTTATAACATATAAAAAGGAGACTAAGACTTTTACTATAAAAACTAAAATCACATGCCTTAAATTTATAAAAATTACATAAAATTTATGTGATTAGTCATAGATTTTAGTTTCAAACAAAATCATTATTACAAAATATTAATATAAATTAACCAATAAAACTAAGATGTTTTAAAAGATTTTTCTTTTTTGCACATTAAGGATTAATTGCACATTACAAAGGTTTAGATTTTAGTTTCAAACAAAATCATTATTACAAAATATTAATATAAATTAACCAATAAAACTAAGATGTTTTAAAGATTTTTCTTTTTTGCACATTAAAGATTAATTGCACATTACAAAGGTTTATACTATTGAAAATCAAGATTGATAATTTAGTGGGTATTAGATACCAATTCAGTCAAATTTTTATTAGTGAAGATATTTTAAATAATTAACATACCAAATTCTAGTCATTTGTATTATGAAGATATGATTAGAGTTTATGATCCCATGCTATTAGTTAATTTTCAATGATATTAATTATTGCATTGGTGCCCAAATTAATTTTAGTCATTTGCAGGGTGTAATCCTTATTTAGGGGATAAAACAGCCCACATGATACAATTCTTTAATAACCAATTAAAATTATGATAACAATTATAGATATTATAGAAATTAAAATTTTACATTATTTATAAGTAGTGGTCTTCTACACTAAAAAACAAAACTTACCATTCACCTATAACCAACTAGTACAAAATAAAGAATTTTTTATCTTTTCCTTAAACATTATCAAAGAAAAATGAAAGGTGAAACATAATAATACAAAGTAATTTTAAAATTTTTTTGTAGAGATACTATGTTAACCATTAAAGCCAAATTTAACTGAAATTAAAACGAAATCAAGAGATATAATCTAATAATTTCTCAAATAATTAATAAATTCTTATTTTATATTTAAAATCTTAAGGTCCTATTTATACTTTTTAAAAGCATAGGGTGCTAATTAAAAATTTTTCAAAACATCAAGGGGGTCATGGCCCTTCCCGGCCTATATGTGGCTCCGCCACTTCTTTGGATCTCATAGTTTTAAAACATATCAAATAGAGGTTAATTGGTGTTAACTCATATACCTAATATTTCTCTCTCGTACTTTAACAATATGAGATTTATCTGGGGGCATTACATACACTTCCCTTTCAAAACTCAATGTCTTAACTAAAGTGCGCTCCACTACAATTCAGGAGTTTACGTGGAATCGCTCTAATACCATATGTAACAATTCAACTCATTAGTAATATTGTTTACTTTGACATAATAGTCCTCATAATTTTAAAACATCTCAGTGGGGTTAATAAATATTGACTTATATATCCAATATCTCTTTCATATTTTATTGAGGTGAGATTAGCTTAAAAGTGCTTTGTTCAATATAAAATAGATTGTAAAATATAAACTCTATTTTATAATTAATTACTTATATTAAGTATTTTATCTTCTCATCCACATGCAAGGCAGCGCATGCTATCCCTAGCAAACTTAGAATTCATTTTATGATGCTTCTTAATCTTTT